TTGTGTTTTAGTAACTGGTTAAGAGTTTCCTGTAACGTTGTCTGATCATTCTATTAACCGTAATGAAGTCTTTGTGTTTTACTGTATTGTTGAGTCTGTGTGTTTTCACTACCTTGAGTTGTGGTAACTGTAACGTTGGCTATTCATTCCATGTACTCTAATGAAGACTTTGTGTTTTCACTAACTTGAGTTGTGGTAACTGTAACGTTGGCTATTCATTCCATGTACTCTAATGAAGACTTTGTGTTTTCACTAACTTGAGTTGTGGTAACTGTAACGTTGGCTAATCATTCCATGTACTCTAATGAAGACTTTTTGTTTTCACTACCATGAGTTGTGGTAACTGTAACGTTGGCTAATCATTCGATTGACTGTAATGAAGACTTTGTGTTTTCACTAACTTGAGTTGTGGTAACTGTAACGTTGGCTATTTATTCCATGTACTCTAATGAAGACTTTGTGTTTTCACTAACTTGAGTTGTGGTAACTGTAACGTTGGCTAATCATTCCATTTACTCCAATGAAGACTTTGTGTTTTCACTACCATGAGTTGTGGTAACTGTAACGTTGGCTAATCATTCCATTTACTCTAATGAAGACTTTGTGTTTTCACTACCATGAGTTGTGGTAACTGTAACGTTGGCTAATCATTCCATTTACTCTAATGAAGACTTTGTGTTTTCACTAACTTGAGTTGTGGTAACTGTAACGTTGGCTAATCATTCCATGTACTCTAATGAAGACTTTTTGTTTTCACTACCATGAGTTGTGGTAACTGTAACGTTGGCTAATCATTCGATTGACTGTAATGAAGACTTTGTGTTTTCACTAACTTGAGTTGTGGTAACTGTAACGTTGGCTATTTATTCCATGTACTCTAATGAAGACTTTGTGTTTTCACTAACTTGAGTTGTGGTAACTGTAACGTTGGCTAATCATTCCATTTACTCCAATGAAGACTTTGTGTTTTCACTACCATGAGTTGTGGTAACTGTAACGTTGGCTAATCATTCCATTTACTCTAATGAAGACTTTGTGTTTTCACTACCATGAGTTGTGGTAACTGTAACGTTGGCTAATCATTCCATTTACTCTAATGAAGACTTTGTGTTTTCACTACCATGAGTTGTGGTAACTGTAACGTTAGCTATTCATTCCATGTACTCTAATGAAGATTTTGTGTTTTCACTAACTTGAGTTGTGGTAACTGTAATGTTGGCTATTCATTCCATTTACTCTAATGAAGACTTTGTGTTTTCACTTACTTGAGTTGTGGTAACTGTAACGTTGGCTAATCATTCGATTGACTGTAATGAAGTCTGTGTGTTTTCACTACCATGAGTTGTGGTAACTGTTACGTTGGCTATTCATTCCATTTACTCTAATGAAAACTTTGTGTTTTCACTACCATGAGTTGTGGTAACTGTAACGTTGGCTAATCATTCCATTTACTCTAATGAAGACTTTGTGTTTTCACTACCATGAGTTGTGGTAACTGTAACGTTGGCTAATCATTCCATTTACTCTAATGAAGACTTTGTGTTTTCACTACCATGAGTTGTGGTAACTGTAACGTTGGCTATTCATTCCATTTACTCTAATGAAGACTGTGTGTTTTCACTAATATGAGTTGTGGTAACTGTAACGTTGGCTAATCATTCCATTTACTCTAATGAAGACTTTGTGTTTTCACTACCATGAGTTGTGGTAACTGTTACGTTGGCTAATCATTCCATTTACTCTAATGAAGACTTTGTGTTTTCACTTACTTGAGTTGTGGTAACTGTAACGTTGGCTTATCATTCGATTGACTGTAATGAAGTCTGTGTGTTTTCACTACCATGAGTTGTGGTAACTGTAACGTTGGCTATTCATTCCATGTACTCTAATGAAGACTTTGTGTTTTTACTACAATGAGTTGTGGTAACTGTAACGTTGGCTATTCATTCCATTTACTCTAATGAAGACTGTGTGTTTTCACTAAGTTGAGTTGTGGTAACTGTAACGTTGGCTATTCATTCCATTTACTCTAATGAAGACTTTGTGTTTTCACTAACTTGAGTTGTGGTAACTGTAACGTTGGCTATTCATTCCATGTACTCTAATGAAGACTTTGTGTTTTGACTACCATGAGTTGTGGTAACTGTAACGTTGGCTAATCATTCCATTTACTCTAATGAAGACTTCGTGTTTACAGTAATTTGAGTTGTGGTAACTGTTACGTTGGCTATTCTTTGTTTTTACTCTAATGAAGACTTTGTGTTTACAGTAACTTGAGTTGTGGTAACTGTAACGTTGGCTATTCTTTGTTTTTACTCTTATGAAGACTTTGTGTTTACAGTAACTTGAGTTGTGGTAACTGTTACGTTGACTATTCTTTGTTTTTACTCTAATGAAGACTTTGTGTTTACAGTAACTTGAGTTGTGGTAACTGTTACGTTGGCTATTCTTTGTTTTTACTCTAATGAAGACTTTATGTTTACAGTAACTTATGTAGTGTTAACTGTAACGTTGGGTGAGATATGTGACGATGATAATACACCATTATGTAACCTGATGAAAAGTCGGATACCAGATATGTGTGGTGATTCTTGTTTGTCTAAATTATGTAAACGAACTTGTGGTTTATGTCGTAAGTATAAATAACGTTGTGTAACAATTTCTTCTAAAGTCTTCAAATATAAATAAGAAGATGTGGTATGAGTGCCAATGAGACAACTCTCCATCCAAGTCACAATGTATAAAAGGTTAACAATTATAGATTAAAGTACGGCCTTGAGCACGGAGCTTTGGCTCACACCGAACAGCAAGCTATAAAGGGCCCAAAAATGACTAGTGTAAAACAATTCAAATAGGAAAACGAACGGTCTATTCTATATAAAAAACGAGAAACGAGAAACACCTATGAACCACACCAACAAACAACAACTACTGAACAACATGCAGGCATACATTTCCAGTTTTTGATTTTAAAAATAATACCGCTATAGTAGATCCATAAATGATGGACTATTTAAAGATCTTTCTTTTTTTTCTTTCTCCAAAATTTAAATATTTTCTTGCAATTGACATTCTAAACTTTAAACTTTGAAAGTTAACCAAGAGATCTTGAAAACATAAAAAAGAATAATATACAAAACTTTTCTTTGAAATAAAAACGATGGAAATGCTAACGATTTAAAACCAAAAACAATAGTCTTATTATTCTTATATACAACAAAAACAACAACGATGATGATGATGATTTCATAAGTATGAAACAGTATTTTGTTACTCGTAGCCCCATTTATTTGCTGATACTTTTAGCTCTGACCTGCTACGAATGTATTGATGTTGATGACGCTACACAATGTACTACTGTAAAGACATGTGCCAAGGATCAGGTGATGTCAATATATTGTGGTTTAAGGTAGATCGGGTGTCTTTCGCCATCTTGGATTGTAAAATAGCAGGAAACAATCGGTCTAGATCCTTCATGAAATGGGCAAATTTCGAGAGAAGAATTTTATTCATTTGTTAAATTTTTCAAAGAAATGAAGAAAATGATGTGTTTTAAAATATTTTATCGACTGTTTCTTTCAAATACAGAATACTTTTGTTTAATTCAATTTTTTCCAACTTTGACATTTTAGGGGAGATAACTCAGATACAGTTACTTTTATAAAGGAATGTGTTATGAATTTACCTAATTTGTTTTGAAGCAAGAAAACGAGTTCCGTGACCCCAATTTTTATTTTTATTTTTCTAAAAGCACGTTATAAGAGCTATCTTCTCATATTCTATCTTTAAATGATTTGTTTATTTATCTTTTTATCACACAAAATAGGAGTTTCCATGCATAATCTATACAAAATCTGACAATAATGCACACCCTTTTAGATTGAAAAGAAGCCACGTGACCTATATTTTTTATTATATTTTTGAAAAAAGCATGATATAAACTACATGATGGCAAATTGTTAAAAACATTCTATGGATTTTAATTTACACCCCCACCCCCACCCCACCCCCAATCTACCTTAAATAGTTTTTTTAATTACCATACTATAAAATCGTTTCATGGAGACCAAAAAATAGGCGGAAGATATTAAAGGTGCAATTCAAGTTCATCAGTCGAAACAAACAGACAAAATGTCCAGAAGGGCAACATTGAACATTAGAACATGAAGAATATGGAGGTGTTGTAAAAAGATCACAAATAAAGACAAACAGGTTTTGATACAAAAGTGAAGCCTTAAAAGGGTTCATGGGAGTAAACCTTTAAAAAATACGGTATTACATAAATAGAATGTTAAAAAACCCAATGATAACCGTACTATTTCATTTATGGGAAATGATAATTGATCATAATAAGTATTCACTACCAAATAAATGACATTGAAGACCTACTGGATGAATTTCTTTTGTTATTTGAGGTAATCTCTTTTTGTTCACTCCAGACTAGGCCTTATTTGCTTTGTTTTTTGCTTTTATTGCTTTGGAATTATTTACCTGATATTACATGTATAGAGTAAATGCGTTTATATTTGCTGGTATAAGATTAAGTTTTACTTAGTGTTATGAGTTATAGGTAGTCTGTGGAAAGGTATATACTATAAAATTGAGAGCAAGGGGCTTTGCCTCGAGCACTAAATTTCATAGTATATCAAATTTAGCACATATTTACAACTCAAGTAATCTTTTAATTGATCTATTCATAGTTTATTTTGGGTAACTACTTGTAATACAGGTATTTGTAAAACGGAATTCTTTGACTAAGTTTGATGATTTGTAAATTTACTTACTAGTATCATACCGGGTATTTGTTCAATTGTGACAGTGATTTCCCAGATGACACGTTTATAAATGCAGCAAAAGGGAGATATTTATTTAGATGTTTGGCTGAATATTTTTATGGAAAATTGCAAAAAAAACTTCAAATATGTAATTTTGTCTGATAAATAAAAACAAAATAGGTTACCAAATAAAGCAAACATGAATTAGTAATACAATGCTTTTTATTATCTTTCAGTATTGTTTTACTGCTCAGACATTTACCATAAACTTCGCGGAAGCTTATCGTCTTGGTTGTGGTCCAATAAAGGTTTGTATGGTCACGTCAGCCATTTACCATAAACTTTGCGGAAGCTTATCGTCTTGGTTGTGGTCCATTTATGGTTTGTATGGTCATGTCAGATATTTATCATAATTTTCGCGAAAGCTTATCGCCTTGGCAGCGGTCCAATTAGAGTTTGTATGGTCACGTCAGACATTTACCATAATTTTCGCGGAAGTTTATCGCCTTGGTTGTGGTCTGGTTTTATGATCTTGTTCGTGTTTCATCGACAAACTTAAATCTATTTTCTATTTCAATCTTCTACCTTTTAAGATTAAGCAATTGTTTTTAATTTTTCAAACTTACAGGCAAATTAAATATCGACAAATAGTTCGCCCTTGTGAAAAGAAATTATTGCATAAATTAAAGATTTATATATCGATGCTCCTAAGTGAACAACAACATCTATTTCAGAACTTTATTGAATATATTTAGATTATATATAACCAACATAACCTTTTTCACTTTTGAAGAATTGAAATATGTGTAGTTGGTGCCTCATTGACATATGCCACCAACAACTTATCTTGGTCATTGTAGTTTATTGAAAAAAAAAAGATTGTACTACCAATTGATATATTCTGTATTTTTTACATATGATTATGCATATGTTCGATGTGAGCAAAGGCTCCTTGTTGTAGGCCGTACTTTGACCTATAATTGTTTACTTTTTATACATTGTGACTTGGATGGAGAGTTGTCTCATTGGCACTCATACCACATCTTCTTATTTATATAGACCTGTCTACAATATGCATCAATTTCAACCAAAAGAGTAAACTTGGATGCTGGATGCTGTAACACGGACAAATGTAACAATAAACCGCCCGCTCTCCTTAAAGTGATTCCAAAACAAAACAGTACTAATTCATCATGTAAGTTTTAAAAACATTATATTTCATGATTTTCATCTTCCTAAAAGAATTTCATTCCCGAAATATTTGTTATATCATGTATAATGTATGATACAGATTTTAGCGCGCAAGACATATGTTTCTGGAAAACAGACCAGACACAGTCAAGAACAAACGTTTGGGAAGAGAACATAAATATAATTTGAAAGTATCAAAACCTACAATGGTCTATAAAGAATTGCAAAAATCACCTATGGTCAACGTTCCTTAAAAAAGTCTGATTTATATCTATTGTTTTTGTTACATCAATTTAATTTATACACTCAGGACACAACATCTTGTACAGACAGCTGTCTATTGTTTCTTAATGCTCGAAAGCACGCATATATCTAATATTTTTTTTTTAATTTTATATAGTATCTACTACTGATAAAAGTTTCTGTGTGAACCTGGACGACGATATATGTACAAGGTTGGCAATAGTTCGTCCTAATCCCTGCTCTGACGACTGTATTGCTTCAAAAATATGTCCACATATGTGCAAGAAATGCTGTAAGTAGACAAATTATGTCCACATACTTGTATTGCAAGAAATGTTGTAAGAAGCTAAAATATGACCACATATGAGCAAGAAATGTTGTAAGTAGACAAAATATGTCCACATATGTGCAAAAACTGTTGTAAGTAGACAAAATATGTCCACATATATGAGAGAAATGTTGTAGGTAGACAAATTATGCAAAATGCAATAATTAAGAGTGTAACTGGACTTCCGGGTTAGGACTTGTAACAATAGCTTGCGAAATATACAATATATGTACAAAGTCGGAAAATATAAAATCTATTTGTATGAGCTTTAGAAACAGGACGAAAAGCGAGGCTCGCTGAGCTTTTCTCCTGTTTCGTAGCGAGTACAAATAAATTTTATATCTTCCGACAATGTACATATATTGTTTTTATCCTGAAATTTACACCCAACACTTGAAACTTTAGTTGTTAAAATATAAATCATTGTCTCTTATTTTTCAAAGAAATCGACATAGTTTCAACGCGGACCGCGAAGAGGACCCCGAAATGAACTGGTACGCAAAAAGAAATATCCACATTACCGCTTGCTCAACATGGAAGCGGGGTAACAGGAGACTTTATTTGTACAAGTACAAGTACAAATAAAGCAAAAATTTATTTGTGTACCTGTTATTTGTACAATAGTTAGCTGATTGCAGGATAAAATAGAATTTTTGACATTTTTTTCCGGAATTGCAAAGTACACATTTGTGAAATTACCACCCACGAAGACTTGATATCGCCTTTGTAGTAAAATCAGTGAATTTACTAAATTTACAAACATTAAGTGCAAAGCAGCACCCAATCTGTTCCTTTTGTTTGCCTTGGTTTTTTTTAGCATGCTAAGTGCGAGTAAAGATTTTAGGTCACAAATTCATGATATCCTTCTATATTTTTTCTTTGTTTTCCCTTCATTTTAAACAATTAGTTTTCAAATTGAATAATTTTTCAGTCTTTTTATTTCAAACTTTTTAAATTAAACTAATAGAGATAGTTGTTAGTCAGCAGTATAAATATTTTGTAGTTTATTGTCTTGACTGCAATGAAGTCAATCATCCAGATAATTGTACTAAAACAACAGCATGTGGATATGGGAAGGTTAGTTTGCAATACTATATTTACGTAAATCTGAATATTGTGCAATTCCTTTCGTCCATGGTATTTTGAATGAGAATGTGCAAAATTGGTTTCCTTCGAAACGATATAAAACTAATTTAAAACGGTTGTCTTTTTTTTCTGACTGGATAAGAGCACCCACATCACAAACACTAATTTTTTTTTAATTTGTTAATGAGTATTTGTCTTTGTTATCACGTCTTACCAGCGCTAGCCATTTCATGAGAGTAATTGAGTTTTCAGAAGGTAATGTAAGTGTTTCTGGTATGATGGAATAGAGAATGGAAACTGGCTCCTAAATAATAATGTATAAATGTTCGGCGAAATGGACGCCACACATACAAATGAACCAAAATAAAAAAAAAACCACAAGGATAACAAAGGCTAAAGGTTCCTGACTTGGGACAGGTGAAAAAATGCGGTCGGGTAAAACAGTTAAGTTCTCAGTATTGCCTTGCGAATACATTATTTGATGCAAATGCCTCTTTTGCTTACAATTACATAACAAATCTTGTTGGCATGATTTTACAGAAAGACGTAAAACCAAAGCATTTTTTTCTTGATATGATAAATTTAATACTGTAATTAAACATTGCATGTGTAGCTGCTACTTTTGGAGTGTGTGTCGTGTCTGACATTCATTACTACTTTTGATTCTCTTTCAGCAATGTTATGGCTATGAGAAAATAGGATCAAATAGATTACCAGCAGTCGAGCTAGGGTGCATTGACGAACAGGTACTGTTAAAAATACTCATAAAGTCGATTGGTGCATTGACGAACAGGTACTGTTAAATATACTCATTAAGAATGTTGGTGTATTGACCAACAGGTACTGTTAAAAATACTCATTAAGTCGATTGGTGCATTGACCAACAGGTACTGTTAAAAATACTCATTAAGTCGATTGGTGCATTGACCAACATGTACTGTTAACAATACTCATAAAGTCCATTGGTGCATTGACGAACAGGCACTGTTAACAATACTCATTAAGTAGATTGGTGCATTGACGAACAGGCACTGTTAACAATACTCATTAAGTCGATTGGTGCATTCAGGAACAAGTACTGTTAACAATACTCATTAAGTCCATTGGTGCATTGACGAACAGGTACTGTTAAAATACTCATAAAGTAGATTGGTGCATTGAGGAACAAGTACTGTGAACAATACTCATTAAGTCGATTGGTGCATTGACGAACAGGTACTGTTAAAATACTCATAAAGTAGATTGGTGCATTGAGGAACACGTACTGTGAACAATACTCATTAAGAAGATTGGTGCATTGACGAACAGGTACTGTTAAAATACTCATAAAGTAGATTGGTGCATTGAGGAACAAGTACTGTGAACAATACTCATTAAGAAGATTGGTGCATTGACGAACAGGTACTGTTAACAACACTCATTAAGTCGATTTCTTTTTGGTACTCGTTTGTTTTTAACGCTCTCAAACTTAATATGCGTAAAACATCCGGAGATAATTGAAGTCTAAAAGTACTAAAAAAAAAGAAAAACAAAGCAAGTTGACTGGAGGAGTAAAAGAGAGGCGAACGATACCAAAGGGACATTCAAACTCATAAGTCTAAAATAAACTGACAACGCCATGGCTAAAAAAGACAACAGACAAACAATAATACACAAAATACAACATAGAAAACTAAAGACTTAGCAACACGAACCGCATCAAAACTGGTTGTGATCTCAGGTGCTCCAGGTAAATTAATTTGTTTATGTCCTAGTCTTTTTGTTCTTTAGTTTTCTCATTAGCAATCATACTACATCTTCAAAACTTTATTTCATTAACTAGGTATTATTTAAAACTGATTTGTAGATATCCTTAGAATTATTACTGGTAAAATATCTGGTTATCATATCATTCAAATTTTGCACACAATCATTTTCAATTTTTTTTGTGTTTCTAAAGGTATGCAACCTTCTGCAAACACCGTCAGGTCACGCATTTGGTAGACGGGATAAGTTTACTTTCACTGGAGGGTGCTGTGTTGGTGACTTTTGCAATACCCATCCAGATGGTATGGTGGCAACTCAGTCTTCAGTCACTACGGTCTCTACTTCATCGCCTGCTATAGTAGGACAAAGTATGAAAATAATATATACTAGGACACTTAAGATCAATAAAAAGTATAGAAAGATCGACAAATAGTAAAATGTGTTAATAGTTATGTCCTTATTGCATCTGATATTTATGTGGAAGATTCTCAAAGCTTTAGTTGAAAGCACCTTTAGTTAATACAACAATCAATGATACCAAAGCTCATACGATTTGTCACATGCGCATTTCTAAAGTATTTCCTCGTCATTGGCACTAGAAATAAAAACTAATCAGTATGTATCAAGTGTTAAAGAGCAATAGATCAAAATCGCCAAACCAATATAAAAAGAAACAGTCCATCGAGATTATAATCTTGAAATATATCAAACTTTACATATTAATATGACACCTTAAAAATTTGGTGCTTCCGTACCGCTTTTCTGGATTTACCTTCATCAGTATTAAAATTCCCTGTGTAATTATTTCTGTGAGTATACCAGCTGTTGAATCGACCTAGGATTAGAAATACAATCATGGCTTTTATCATATTTTACATGTATTATATTAAACATATACAAAGGCATAATTCAAAATATAATTTGGTACGTCTGAACCGCAGTTCTGGATTTACCTTCATTATAAACCAATTATGGAATATAAGTAAAGGAAGATATAGGTCTTTGTCGACGAAACAGCAACGAAACCAACACACATTACTATTTATAAAAGGAGATATGAGGAAAACGTTAATGCCAAATCAATATATATTGTATATTAACAGTAGTTGTGTGAAACAAAAGCATTCGTAACCAATGACGTATTACATTTTCAGATTGTAGTAATCAGTATCATCTGTCCTGTCCAGCTGGATTTAAACCAATAGGCAAAAACTGTTATCACATGCCACCAAACATAAATGTGACCAAAGTCAATGCTGAGGTAGTGATATATAGAACAATTATGTCATGTGTTTGTTTTATGTGTGTGTGTATATATATTGTCGCTTTCCTTTTATAAAATTGATATTGGAGATGGTGAATGTGTCAAAGAGACAACAACCCGACCAAAGAGCAGAAAACAGCCGAAGGCCACCAATGTGTCTTCAACACAGCGAGAAAGTTGCGGCCCTGGAGGCGGGCTTCAGCTGGCCCCTAAACAAAAATGTGTACTAGTTCAATGAAAATGGACGTCACACCAAACCCCAATACATATCAATGAACTAAAATTAAAAAACATACAAGACTAACAAAGGCCAGAGGCTCCTGACTTGGGACAGGCGCAAAATTGCGGCGGGGTTCAACATGTTTTGTGAGATACTTATAATAACTCATTGGACTATACAAATATTGAATTAACTGTAAATCAGGAATTTTTGCGTGTATTAATGTTTGTGATTGTTGAACAAAGAACACACATGCGAGATCTATTTTTGCGATTTCTGGTAATGCTGCATAGATATAATGCTATCAAAATTTGAAATGTTTTTATTTTAGCAGTACATATCACGTCGTAATATTCGCAAAATAAAAACACCGCAAAAATGTCTAAATTAACCGTTTTTGATTATCCTCACATGTTACTCCTCCGTTTTGGGATTGCAAAGGAAGAGGAATGTTAAGTCCACTTTATTTCGTCCCCTTGATTTCTAAAATTAAAAAGTATTATAAATCTATCAAATAACGTTATGCAGTTGTCACAAGACAAGTCTGTAAGATATCAATATTTATATTTTTTAAACTGTTTCTAAAATGTTATGTGTCATTTATATTCAAAGTTCTTTCATATCATGTAAAACCGCAAAATCTGCCAAAACAGCCTCATTTTGAGATTATGCCATTAATATTTAGATATTGTTCAAGGCTTAACCAAACAGATACTTTGGTGCAAGCTGTCTAGTACAAAGATGATAATTCGGGTTAAAAACAATTTGGGTAAGGCCTTGGCGTATATCTAATTTTATCGAAATCTATGTGTAAATTGGACCTGTTTAGCCAAATGCGTCAATTCCACCATATTTACGACACCAAAGGGACATAAAAACTAACTTTCATGACATGACGTGTCTCGTTTATATCACCCTATTTAGCTATTAGTAAAATAAACATACTTTTGTGGTCATGAAGAAATTTTACTATTTTTTTAATTTAAGGGTTCAAATAACGGATCTCGTATAAATTAATTAACTCACATGCTAGTTGGTATGTTTTATTGTTGTTTTAAATAGGCGGGAGTTGGCAAAAAAAGGGGGGGGGGTATTTTAAGAACATGTTATATTATTTTTACCATAGCACACATGGATTAATATACTTAGATTCAATAAATAACGATAATCTTCTAACTTCGTATTTTGCTATAGCGTAATTATTCTGATGCCCTGTGTATTTTTTACTTTTCGCAAGTTTGTTAAGTTTTATCTATGCGACTGTCATACAAGTGACAGGTTAAGCTGTATTCAGGTTTAATCTACCATTTTCTACATGAGGAAATGCCTATACTTAGTCAGGAATATGACATTTGTTTTTCATTCGTTTGATGTGTTTGTTGATTTTGCTATTTTATAAAGGACTTTCCCTTTTGAATTTTCCTTGGAGTTCGGTATTTTTGCTTTGTTACTTTTTTCTGCTACTATTATTTGAATGTAAATATACTTTTAGCGTTACTGTCATGACCGATGTTCTCATCTGGTTAAATTCTCAGACAAAGTGGAAATATTGAATGTGTTCTCTCATTTTGACAACAATCATCACCATGGTGACGGTGAGTTCCTATAATTTAAAACTAAAGGGGAAATATAATCATGTAAAAAGCTTATTAGCAATTTGACGTTCTATTTAGCAATATCATGACAGCATATTGATTACATATTTCCTAGGTGATAAGATATTCCAGAAATATCTTTTCCTACCAGAATTTCTTTAAAAAAGGTTGCTTCTTACTAGAAATCTATTGTTTGAGAGGTGATTATTTGTTAAGTTTCAGTCATCTCTTAAACGTGGTCATATAAACCGTTACGGTAATTTTATCAAACTTTCCGGCTGTTCCAGCTCCGATCCACATGTTAATCGAACTAGGGGGCGAAAGCAGTTTCGGTTCAAAATCGATGAATGTCTAGCGTTTTTTCATGTTTTTCAATAATACGATTTCTATTCAATGTTTTGTTTTTTTGCTTTTTTTTGTCCGGATGTTTTCTGTCCTTTTTAATTTAAAGCTATGAATATTTTAACTTTATTGTCATGAAACAGCCAACATGAACATCCAAGAAACATAATTGTATCAATGTACTGCTGTTTTTTCAGAGGTATTTACATCCTTGTCTAAAGATTTATTGGATCGTTGGATCTGGGACAGTGACAAGACAGCAGCCAATCCCCAGCTGATTGAACACGATTTCCATCTTACACACAACACATGCGTAGTAGCCTACATATCATACTTCACAGGAACTAATGGACATATAGTATATGCTTATGGCTTGTCGCCTGTGGATTGCAATCACAAAGCCGTTCCATTGTGCTATGTAACAAGATCATAGTACTGTCAATATTTTCAATTAAACATAATAGTACCCTTCTGTCATCAACTATATTCCGTCCAATATCTATAATATAATGAAATCCTCAAGTTCAGTTTATGTCATAAGTTTATTCAACACATTATTTCATACTTAAGTGCCAGTCTTTGTAAGAATCAGGCAATTTAGAAAAGTTTCAAAACATGGCCGAAAAAAACCCGCCGACCTAACCATCCTATTTTGAAGTTACCTTCTTCCTGAGTTAGAAATGGTAGGTCTTCGTTTTGTCGTGTCTGGTAATTCGCGAACCCCCTAGATAACGTTTGGTTAGAATGATATCATATCACGGAGTTAGCTCCCCTTAATTGTGAATTCTTAGTGCATTTCAACCAAATAATATCTTTAAATACAATAACATGAAAAGGAAACGACTTTTATATTGGTTTTGGTTTGTCGTGTTTCCACCACTGCCTGATTCTTAGGCAGATTGGCAATTAATTAACATGAATTTGCCTGTTTAGGCAAGCAGCTAGTAGTTTTCTCACTTTTTTTCATCAAATTGCATTGTAATGTTAAGAGTCGTGATGTCGGTTTCGTTATCATTGACATATATCCCAAATCTTGTATTTACATAAAATTGAAAATTGTTTACCAAAGTTACTGTAATCAAATATACAATACCTAGCATGATAAGATTTCAACAGATAATAATTAGTTTAATTGATCACCCAATATTGGAGTTCAAAATCAAATTGTCTAATACCTAATTGTCAAAATAACTACTCCACGTGACCTTGCACGACAGGTCTTGTATATAATCTACAAAAGACACTTTATAAATGTTATACGTCCGAGGCGCTTGTCTGGATTTACCTTTACCAGGTACGCCCAAAACCCGAATATTTGAACGCTTATGGGTTGAATAAAATGATTTTGTTTAGACAGGCAGAAGCGTTAACTGGTAAAATGACATTTTTCTTGTGTTGGTCAGGCACAAGTCTTCGTAGGTGAAATGAAATGTTCCTTATATTTGACCGGACAGAAGAATTATTAAGTCGACCAAGATTCTCCTGGGTTGTTCGGATACATGTGTTGATAGGTCAATTGAAATAATACTTCTGTTAGACCGACAACAGAAATAATCATATTGGATTGGCACACGTGTTACATGAGTCAACATACTCGTTGAGTTGGATAGGTACAAAAAGAGGCGAAGGATACCAGAGGGATATTCAAACTCATAAGTCGAAAACAAATTGACAATACCATGGCAAAATGAAAACGACGTAAAGACAAACAGTATACAAAACAAAACAAAGAAAACTAAAGACTGAGCAACACGAACCCCTCCGAAAACCGGGGGTGATCTCAAGTGCTCCGGAAGGGTAAGTAGATCCTGCTACATATGTGGCACCCGTCGCGTTGCTCATGTACGTACAAATCCGGTGATAAGTCTAATTCGGTAGGTCACATTCGAGGAAAAGAGGACGGGAGTGTGGTAACAAGTATTAATTTGTTTACTAAAATGCTCCCTAAGATGGATAGGAAAAATAGTTGGGTTGACATAAATGTTCCCCGGGTTGGACAGGCACAAGTGTTAATGTGTAATATGTGTAAGATGGATAGAAACAATAGTTGGGTTGACATAAATGCTCCCCGGGTTGGACAGACACAAGTGTTAATGTGTAATATGTGTAAGATGGATAGGAACAATAGTTGGGTTGACATAAATGCTCCCCGGGTTGGACAGGCACAAGTGTTAATGTGTAATATGTGTAAGATGGATAGGAACAATAGTTGGGTTGACATAAATGCTCCCCGGGTTGGACAGACACAAGTGTTAATGTGTAATATGTGTAAGATGGATAGGAACAATAGTTGGTTTGACATAAATGTTCTCCGGGTTGGACAGGCACAAGTGTTAATGTGTAATATGTGTAAGATGGATAGGAACAATAGTTGGTTTGACATAAATGATCCCCGGGTTGGACAGGGACAAGTGTTAATGTGTAATATGTGTAAGATGGATAGGAACAATAGTTGGGTCGACATGAATGCTCCACTGGTTGGACAGGCACAAGTGTTAATGTGTAATTTGTGTAAGATGGATAGGAACAATAGTTGGGTTGACATAAATGTTCCCCGGGTTGGACAGGCACAAGTGTTAATGTGTAATATGTGTAAGATGGATAGAAACAATAGTTGGGTTGACATAAATGCTCCCCGGGTTGGACAGGCACAAGTGTTAATGTGTAATATGTGTAAGATGGATAGGAACAATAGCTGGGTTGACATAAATGCTCCCCGGGTTGGACAGACACAAGTGTTAATGTGTAATATGTGTAAGATGGATAGGAACAATAGTTGGTTTGACATAAATGATCCCCGGGTTGGACAGGCACAAGTGTTAATGTGTAATATGTGTAAGATGGATAGGAACAATAGTTATTTTGACATAAATCCCCCCGGGTTGGACAGGCACAAGTGTTAATGGGTCAAATAATGTTTCTTGAATATGAAAGTCACAAATCTTTATGGGTCAACATTTTGAGATGAACAGGTTTAAACATTTATTGGTGGACTGGAATATTCATTCTGTTAGACTAGCATGTAGTGTTAAATTCGACGAAAATGGTCCTTAATTTGTACACGCAGACGGGATAATGGGTCAACTAAAATACGTATCGGGTTGGACAGTCAGAAAAAAATTATAGGTCAACACATTCCTTGAGTTGGACAGGCACAAGTACTAATTGATTGACTTAAATCTTCCTTAGGTTGTACAAACACAAAGTTAATGTGTCTATCCAAATGATAGAACACAACAGTCACAAATGTTTTTATGTCAACATTTTCCTTCAGTTAACAGGTACAAGAGTTAAGTGATTGACTTCAATATTTCTTGTGTTGGACTAGCACAGTGTTCATAATTCGACTTAATGGGCATTCATTTGTACAGGCAGACGGGATAATGTGTCAACTATAATGTTCCTTGTAGTGGACATGCACAAATTGAAATGAGTCAACATATTCCTTCAGTTGGACAGTCGCTAGGGTTAATTGATCGACTAAAATGTTCGTAGTGTTGGACAAGCACAATAGGTATTGGGTCTATACAAATAATCCTTGTGTTTGGCAGACACAACATTTAATTGGTCAACTGGAATATTCCTTTGGTTGTGTCGACTGAAAACATTTTTATTTAGATGGTCACAATGGTGAGTTGGTCGACTTGAGACGGACAGGCACAATGGTTAATTGGTCAACTAGAAAATTCTTGAGATGGACAGGCACAATGGTTAATCGGTCAACTAGAATATCCTTGAGATGGACAGGCACAACGGTTAATTGGTCAACTAGAATATCCTTGAGATGGACAGGCACAATGGTTAAGGGGTCAACTGAAATATTCTTTTGGTTTTACAGGCACCAGTGTTAATTGGTTGACAGAAATGTTCTTTTGGTTTTACAGGCACCAGGGTTAATTGATTGACAGTAATGTTCTTTTGGTTTTACAGGCACCAGTGTTTATTGGTTGACAGAAATATTCTTTTGGTTTTACAGGCACCATTGTTAATTGGTTGACAGAAATATTCTTTTGGTTTTACAGGCACCAGTGTTAATTGATTGGCAGTAATGGTTTTTTGGTTTTACAGGCACCAGGGTTAATTGGTTGACAGAAATGTTCTTTTGGTTTTACAGGCACCAGTGTTAATTGGTTGACAGAAATGTTCTTTTGGTTTTACAGGCACCAGTGTTAATTGGTTGACAGAAATGTTCTTTTGGTTTTACAGGCACCAGGATTAATTGATTGACAGTAATGTTCTTTTGGTTTTACAGGCACCAGTGTTAATTGGTTGACAGAAATATTCTTTTGGTTTTACAGGCACCAGTGTTAATTGATTGGCAGTAATGGTTTTTTGGTTTTACAGGCACCAGGGTTAATTGGTTGACAGAAATGTTCTTTTGGTTTTACAGGCACCAGTGTTAATTGGTTGACAGAAATGTTCTTTTGGTTTTACAGGCACCAGTGTTAATTGGTTGACAGAAATGTTCTTTTGGTTTTACAGGCACCAGGGTTAATTGGTTGACAGAAATATTCTTTTGGTTTTACAGGCACCAGTGTTAATTGGTTGACAGAAATGTTCTTTTGGTTTTACAGGCACCAGGGTTAATTGATTGACAGTAATGTTCTTTTGGTTTTACAGTCACCAGGGTTAATTGATTGACAGTAATGTTCTTTTGATTTTACAGGCACCAGTGTTAATTGATTGATAGAAATATTCATTTGGTTTTACAGGCACCAGTGTTAATTGGTTGACAGAAATGTTCTTTTGGTTTTACAGGCACCAGGGTTAATTGGTTGACAGAAATATTCTTTTGGTTTTACAGGCACCAGTGTTAATTGGTTGACAGAAATGTTCTTTTGGTTTTACAGGCACCAGGGTTAATTGGTTGACATTAATATTCTTTTGGTTTTACAGGCACCAGTGTTAATTGATTGACAGTAATGTTCTTTTGGTTTTACAGGCACCAGTGTTAATTGATTGATAGAAATATTAATTTGGTTTTACAGGCACCAGTGTTAATTTGTTGACTGAAATATTCTTTTGGTTTTACAGGCACCAGTGTTAATTGGTTGACAGAAATATTCTTTTGGTTTTACAGGCACCAGTGTTAATTGATTGACAGTAATGTTCTTTTGGTTTAACAGGCACCAGGGTTAATTGGTTGACAGAAATGTTCTTTTGGTTTTACAGGCACCAGTGTTAATTGGTTGACAGAAATGTTCTTTTGGTTTTACAGGCACCAGTGTTAATTGGTTGACAGAAATGTTCTTTTGGTTTTACAGGCACCAGGGTTAATTGGTTGACAGAAATATTTTTTTGGTTTTACAGGCACCAGTGTTAATTGGTTGACAGAAATGTTCTTTTGGTTTTACAGGCACCAGGGTTAATTGATTGACAGTAATGTTCTTTTGGTTTTACAGGCACCAGGGTTAATTGATTGACAGTAATGTTCTTTTGATTTTACAGGCACCAGTGTTAATTGATTGATAGAAATATTCATTTGGTTTTACAGGCACCAGTGTTAATTGGTTGACAGAAATGTTCTTTTGGTTTTACAGGCACCAGGGTTAATTGGTTGACAGAAATATTCTTTTGGTTTTACAGGCACCAGTGTTAATTGGTTGACAGA